GTGGCCAGGTGGCACAACTGAAGCCATCTGTTTTTAGAGTCAATCACCATGTCTTATACTAATCAATATACAGGGCGTTAATTATGTAAAGATTTAAAGGACAGTTTGAAATACGGTGTGCCTTTCGGTTGATATTAATCATGTTTACATTTCCTTTATTACCAAATTCATTTTTATAAACCCCCCCCTCCTTTTTCCCCAACCCGTTTTTTTAATAGGATTGCAATCTGTAAATTTCCATCTCAAGGATGATAATAAGACACAAATCCCAGAAATGCAGCAATTATACTGCAGCACCACAAAACTAAAAATACCTTGCAATATAAAATGATTGAGACTGCAGTGTGGGGTGGCTTATTTCACTGTAACAGAAGACACTTGTTCTGTACATCAGAAATGATTATATCGAAAACTATTTACTTTATAACCCAAACAGCTCTCACATAGATACCAGAAGAAAAGAGAAAAAGGGGCGCCCCCCCCCCCCACCAAAACATGGAGACGAACGATGGAAAGTGACCCGATTGCGGCATCTCGGACATGGAAAACTGCACTGAAGATTGCACAGGACAGGAAAGCATAGAAAGTCCTCTCTGAAGCTTGTGTGCCACTAGGCATAAAGAGAATTGATGATGATGCTGATGAAGAAAAAATGAACTACGTAAGATTTCCCTTAATGAACCTGCTACAAAAACTTAAGACAATTGAAAACATGATGGAATTGATACAGAGAGCTACAAGAAATGAAGTAAAAGTAAAGTAAATGACGCTTTTTAAGGCCTTTATGTGTATTGGGCACATAGGGCTAGACCTATATTTTAGAGACCAATCGGCACTTTTTGGGTGACGTGATCAGCATCACCAGCCGACTTTACTTTCCAGGCTAACCTGGTAGCTATTTAAGGCTGGGTCGACCTACGAGCCAAGGTCATTTTTGAAAAAGAAAAAAGTACAGCTTCGTAAAAGCCGAACCCACGACCTTCTGATCTGCAGGCGAACGTCTAGCTGCTACACCACGGAGGCTCACAATGATTAAATAGTACATCACAGAAACATAAGTTTGCATATGAGGAGATAATATTTTACAAGACAGAATTAGGTTATCCTGGATACTTTACATGCATCCAGGGATATATTACATATTCTTCTTTTTATAGACCATGTCCTGTGGCATTGGTAGTCATGTTTATTCACAACCTTCTGTCTACATTGATGTAAATACATCGTCCCCATGTGTGATGCAGTTTTTTTGTTATTTGAAGCCCCATCCTGGCTTTTGCCATGGCCCCTGAATATTCATTCATTCATTCAGTAGCATGTCCCTCGCGGAACCTTTCTGCCATAACAACCCTCCGGAAAACCTTCCTATCATGAGCAAGATGTCCTGCGTCTGATACACCCATCTGGAGATCCCTGAATATAGTCGGGCTATAAATATGGCCTCATGGCTGAAAGGGGTTTCTGGGACCTCTCCACGGGTGATCCTCATCCGCATGGTGGCACTTTATGTCACCGGCTGTTTATCGCTTGTGTGATATCCTTGTGGAGTACAATTACCTACATACCTACCTTCTGTCTCGTGCACTTTCTATTAATTTTGACAGACATGATCTTCTATTTCTAGATGTCAAATTATCCAGCATCTTCTCTCTCGGTCTCCCTCTGCCTCTTTCCCCCTTTTAAATGTTCCCACTGTCAGAATGTACTTCAGTTTTCTCCTTCTCATGACATGACCAAAACAATCATGTCTCCTATTGATGTGGGTAGCCATTCCTCCTCTCTTGAGTTGGTTCCTTTTTTTTTAAAAATCTGTCCGGTGCATTCTCATCATTCGCCTTTAAAACCACATTTCCGCCGCTTCAAAATAATTACGAAAACCGCCCATAAAAAACGGACTCAACTATAAGGAAGACCCTCAGGTTACTTTGAAGAGTCCCAGTTTTTCATTTTTTTTTTCAACATCGTCAAGTCAAGTCTTCACAATAATTTTTCACCTACCAACTATCCATAATCCCCTTCCGTATATCAGGACAGGATTTATGAAATTTTTAAGAATTCTCTTTTTCGTCTCAAATGGCAAAGAAAGATTGCACATAATTTTCTTACTTTTGTGAACTGTTAATTTTGCTTATTAAGCTATTCTACATTTAACATCTTTAATTCAGGATTTTATACACCGATATGATAAGGTAGCTAAGCGCAAGTGGTGTTTCATATAAGTAGTAGGTACGAGCTTTACGCGGTGTTCCCCCCTCCCCTTTTCCTTATATATCCTTTCCTAAAGGTGGCTCAGATGATCTAATGAAGAAAAACTCTAAAGCGCTATACGTAAATGAAAAAAAAAAAAACGATACCCACCTCCCGAGCGACCATTGGAACACCTCCCAGTTTGGCCGTGTTGGCACTTGTGGAACAGCCCGATTTGGCATGTTTTTTTTTTTTTAAATCTCGGTCTCCTTGCGGCACATGACTTTGGGTGCGAAACAGGCTCCTGTGGTTTGAGCACGGCCTTTTCCATTTATTTATAAACAGCCGGACCTGGGTTTGAGGTCCCCTCGGATAAGGTTCTTTTGCGCATGATAGGGCAGGCTGAGCAGCAGAGCCGAGCTTTTTATGGGCGGCGCTGAGATGGGGAGGGCCAGGAGCAGGACTCGCTGGTTATATAATATAACAAACTAGGGGTATTGAGGGGATATGCGCGCAAATGCAGCCACTTTTGCCTTTGACATCTTTGAAGGTTTCCAGATCAGACAGGAAACGGTGGCAGCGGCACTTGGTTTAGAAGATGCTTACAACAGAGTCAGATACAGTATCTTGATGAAAGCGCTTATGGAGAAGGGTGTCCTTGGTTGTAGAACTGGATAGCAGCCGTTTTGTATGCTTGCCGGGTAGCTCTCCGCCTGGGTTCATGGACCTCTGAACCATGTAATATAGCCTAGGACTACCACAGGGATCTGCAGTTTCACATGTGCTGTTCAATGTTTTCACGAGCAAGATTGCATGCCTGGAAACACATGGGGTTGTCAGAATATTGACGATTGCGGATGATGTTCTCGTATATAGGAAGGGCAGAGATCGGGATCAATTGCTAAAGAGTTACAGGCGACAGTAGATAAGGTGTATAGAGATGAGTGCTGTAATCAACTCAGAAAAGGCAACCGTCCTGTGATGTTCTTTGGACGACAGGATTGTTAGAGCGGATGTTCCCAGACTCAAAATAAAAGGCAGGGACATCACAAGAGACAACAGACTACGGTACCTGGGTATAACCTTTGACATAAGTTTTGTCTTTTAAAGATCGCATAGAGGGGGTTGTGACAAAGGCTAAAAAAGGTCCTAATGCACTAAAGATTATAGCAGTGATGGTCATGGAGCAGAGAATGTTTTTCACACTTTACCAGCACTGAATCATCTCAGTGATTGATTATAGATCAAGGTTACTCACTGTCTCGAAGAGTCAGATAGAGAAACTGGAGAGCATACAGAATGAAGCTAGGCGGGTGATCCTAGGATGTAAAAGAAACACGCTGATTGTGTGCATGCGATACATCCTTGCATTGTCGACTATTACAGATAGGCTAAAGGTGCTGCAGGCTAAGTAATACCTCAGAGTAGCTGCAGACAAAGAACACCCTTTGTATGAAGCTTTGGCTGCAAGTAAGGGACAGAGGCTGTAATGGAGAAAATCGTGGATGGCTCAAGCAACAGACACAATAAGACAAGTATGCAGGCTGGAGAACATTGGGGGAGGAGAGGAGTGGGTCAGAGTACCAGAGAAAAAGTCGGACCTGTGTAGGGTTATGACTACATTGGGCCAGGAGTGCAGAGAGTAGCCAGCGGGTGCTATGGAGGTGGAAGTCCAACAGTTGATTCACGACAATTCATGCCCAAGTAATCAGATCATCTATACAGACGGTTCGGTGTTGAGAGTAAAGAAGTGCCTGGGGTTTCGTAGCGAAAGCAAATGAAACATCTTTAGTGCAAGATAGCCTAGCATATGACATCACAACATCTAGCATGAGAATGGATGTGGAGGGTGTAACTGCAGCTCTCCGGTGGCAAGAGAACAAGATGCATACACATATCGCAATTGTAACAACAGACTCTGAAAGCATGCTGAGAAAGGTGAAGACAGGGATGCATTGAGCAGTTTGGCAAGCTTCACTGGGAAGGTCACAGGTAGTGAGCCTAGTTTATATCTTTTATCTAGACGATGCCGGCGTAGTGGGTAATGAACAGGCATACATATTGGCTGGATCTGTACCACTGGGTGGTGAATTAATATATGACAAAGCAGATGTGATCAAGGCCCTTTGGGAACAAGCAACGGAATCAGTAAAGAAAAAAGATTATTATGGCCTGGAGAGGACGAGGGACCTGTGTGTAACCCGAGGGTCTGGTCGGCTCACTACACTCAGAGGAAAGGCAAGACGGACATATAACCAGATTGTGTCTGGTACCATCAGTATTGGAACTCTACGCTGGCTGCTGAAGATGAGGACGGCTCATGCATGGGAATGCCCAGAGTGCTGTGATGTCAATTCTTGACGCAACTCAACTACATATATTTTTTCCCTGTAAAACGATTTAGTCGCCATTTAATTTTAATCATCATGTAGCAGGTCCTTCGCAGAACGTCGCTCTCATCACAGTCTGCCTGTAAGAAACTCGGTCTCTTGCCAGTTCCCCCGCCTCATGAACTTTCACACTCAAGGAATCACTTATATCCTGTGCCCATCTTCGTGTAGGTCGGCCTCTGCCCCTCCTTCCTGGTACCATGCCTTCTGCTATAATTTTTCCCAATCCGTTATTAATTTTAATACACCAGCAGAAATGGAACAAAAAATCTGGTATCAAAATTTCCTGACTCCGCAATTTGACTGCAGACTGCTGTTATTGCGTCTCATTGTCGATGCTGGGAATACGTGTTGACAGAAGCGACTGTTTATTTGGTCTCTTTTCATAGCTGATCGTTACTCTTAAGAGTGTAGGGTTTTAAGATGTATGGCCAAGATGAAGGTATTTCATTCAAACATTAAACTGTTGACATTATTTTAATATTACGAACATTCAGTTTTAGTTTTGTTGTTGAACAAATATTTGTTGTGAACTTACCAATTTTCGATATCGAAAGCTCGGGTCTACTCAAAGTAGTATTTCAAACAGAAAATCAAAAGTTTATGTAAAGCATACATAATGATAAATTGAGTAATTCTTTTAACATGTGAAAAGATTTTCAGAACAGTATAAATATAAAGACACATTTCTGTTATTAAATCAAGTACTGCATCAACAAGGAAGGTTGACAGTTGAAAGAAGTTACTAGTATTCTCTTTTTGGCTGCTTGCAGCTGTTCAGTGTTTGTTCTTCCACAGCCATCTGCATCTGTTGGATAGTATTCTCACATTTATCATAACAGCCTTATATTACGAATATCCAAAGAGTTCAGAATCACTGCTGATAATTAAGAACTTTAAGGCATTTAAGCCACACAAATACAAAATAAACAAGTGAATTCCGATTAGGATTAGGATAAAAATAATGGCTATCCTCTGAATCCTCTGAGAAATAAGAAAGTACACAAGAAAGGATAAAAATCAGTATGTACAAGATTGCTGTATTAAAATAGAGCAGCATCATAAAAATGGAAGAGATTACGAAATGTTCAAGGAAATGAAGTTATTGACAAGAAATTTTCAACCTCAGTTAAATGTTATTTGTGACAAGTTGGGAAATACTTTAACAGAATCTAGACAAATTCTAGGAAGATGGCAGGAATACTGCAGCGGAATGTATGATATGAATGACAGTGAGGATATGAATGATATACATGAACCAGTAACAGTAGAGGCAGAACCTGAACCTTCATTAGATGAAATTTCATGGGCAATAAGGAGCCTGAAAAATGGTAAATCACCTGGATGTGATGAGATACCAGCTGAATTGATTAAAGCGGGAGGAGAAGAAAGCATAAAAATCTATCATGCATTATGTGAAAAGATATGGAAATATGGTATTTGGCCAAAAGACTGGAAGAGAACTATCTTCATTCCAATACCAAAAAAGGGTGACCTGAAATTATGTACAAACTATCGAACTATTGCCCTGATCAGTCATGCAAGTAAAATTCTACTAAAAATTATAATGAGAAGACTGCATAAGAAAATGGAAGAAGAGATTAATGTAGCTCAGGCTGGATTTAGACAGGGAAGAGGAACAAGAGATCATATATTCAACATGCGTTTAATAATAGAGAAGTGTAGAGAATTTAATGTAAATCTGTTCTTATGTTTTGTGGATTATTCAAAAGCATTTGACTGTGTACAACATCAGAAGCTGTGGGAAATCATGAGGAATATGGGCTTTCCATCACATATAGTGCAGCTCATTAAAATGCTCTATCAAGACCAACAAGCAGCAGTCAGAATAGATGGAGAGACATCAGACTGGTTTGGCATCAAGCAAGGAGTCCGTCAGGGATGTGTGCTGTCACCGTATTTGTTCAACCTGTACGCCGAAAATATAATGAGAAATGTAAGAGATGATATAAACAAGGAACAATATGATGCCCTAAACATCGGTGGTCATGAAATACCAGAAATTCGTTATGCTGATGATACAGTATTACTATCAACATCACAAAATGGTCTAGAAAACTTATTAACCTCACTCCAAAGAAATAGTGAAAATCATAACTTATTTCTTAACATAGCAAAAACAAAGATAATGCATACAAACAAAACTGCCATGGAGAAGGAAATATATGTTAATGAGGAAGGATTGGAAGTGGTGGAAAATTTCGAATATCTTGGGTCACTGGTTACCAACAATGGTGACACAATGAAAGAAATTAAACGGCGACTATCAATTGCTCTTCAAAGACTAAAACAACTGAATAAATTATGGAATTGTACAGATAGAATTACAAAGGTCAGATTTTTAAGAGCATGCATCTTTCCCATTGCAACATACGCCTGTGAGACCTGGACACTTACTAAACAAGCGGAAAAGCGCATAAATGCATTTGAATATAAATGTTACAGACAGGTTCTAAGAATATCTTGGGTAAAGAAAAGAACAAATGCATCCATACTTCAAGAGCTGAATATTGAAGAGGGTTGGCTAGTAAAGACAATAAAACAAAGAAAATTGAAATATTTTGGTCACTTGAAACGTCATGGAAGTCTAGAGAGAACAATAATGGAGGGGTATATGCCTGGGAAGAGAGGAAGAGGAAGGCCAAGGAGAAGATGGGTGCAGGATGTGGCAGATGATCTCCAGATGGGTGTATCAGACGCAGGACATCTTGCTCATGATAGGAAGGTTTTCCGGAGGGTTGTTATGGCAGCGAGGTTCCGCGAGGGACATGCTACTGAATGAATGAATCCTCTGAATTACGGGCACATTATGGCGGCCGCAAAAAACCCTAACAGAGCCTCAGTCAGGTGTCATTTGCACACTTCCGGCGACCTAATTTGCGGATATCCGGCGACTACCGACACCACCAAGAGTATCCCCCACGCCGCTCACACAGAGTGGATTGGGGCTAAACTATGTTCCCTTATTGCATCACCATGTATTCGGCTCTTCTTTCAACTCAGGCCGTTAGCTGGAAAGCCGCCGATCGCTTAGTGGGAGTTCTCTCCCTTGGCTTCATTGCAAACACGGAGCGGACAAGTCACGAATAAAAACAGACAGTGAGGTCGACAACAGGGCTGCCACTGCTTGGATGTTTCCCCCAGATGTGGGTGTTTATTTGACGCTTCGGGGACATCTGGTTTTTTTTTAAAGTAAATATATACTTACTTACTTACTTAGTCGCTCCTCTTCTACCTTGGGGTGTAGAGGTTTGCCAGAGAGATCGCCAGACGTCTCTATCAGCAGTTTTCTTTCTGGCTTTGTTCCATTCCAGTCCTCTGTCAGTCAGGGACTGTCGGATGTTGTCTTCCCAGCGCACCCTGGGTCGTCCCGGAGGTCTGGTTCCCTGGTTCTTAGCCTCCCATGCTTGCCATGGTGGCCGATTTTCTCCCAGTCTGCACACATGTCCAAACCATCGTAACTGTGACTGATCCACTCGGGTTAGTAAGGGCTGGGTATCAAGATCTTGACGTATTGTCTGATTGCGGACTTTGTCCCTTCTTGTCACTTGGACCACCTTTCTCAGGTATCTCATTTCCGAGGCCTGCAGCTGGCTTCTGTGAGCTGTTGTCATTGCCCATGACTCACACCCATAGGTCAGGACTGGTACATAGGTAGAGCGGTAAACAGCCATTTTCGTCCTCTTGCCAATTTCTCTTTTGCTAAGAAACCCTCGGTTTATGGCCTGGAAGAGTCTCCCAGCAGCTGCTTTTCGTGTAGCCAGCTCAGTCTTAATGCCTCCATTTTGGTCTAATACAACTCCAAGGTATTTGAACTGGTTAACCTGCTCCAACGCATACTGACCCATCATGATCTGGTGTTTTTTCTCCTCTCTTGAGATCACCATGGTTTTAGTTTTGGAGACACTGATGGTCATCCCTTTCTTTTCAAGCTCTTCCTTCCAGACAAGTAAGTTGGACTGAAGGTGTGCCTCTGATTTAGCTATCAGGGCCACATCGTCTGCAAAAGCCAGCTCTGATATACAGATTGGTCTCATCTTCCAGTACCCTACAGAGTGCTTCTTTGTCTTCTCCTTACAGGTCTTGATGACATCATCCATCATAAGAATGAAGAGGTAAGGTGAGAGAATATCACCTTGTCTAACACCGCTGGTGGTCTTAAATTCTTCTGACTTTTGGTCTGCTGTTCTTACATAATTTCTGCACTTTTTGTAGAAACTCTGTATTACACTGATCAGGGGTGCTGGGATGTTTTTCCCTGCCAAGCAGTCCCAGAGCTTGTTCCAGGGTACCTTGTCAAATGCCTTTTCCAGATCCAAAAAACATAAGTGAATCTCACTCTTATATTCCAGGGCTTTTTCACTCATCTGTCTCAGTGTGAAGATAAGGTCTTGAGTACTTCGGTTTGCTCTGAAGCTGCACTGGGCCTCGTCCAGCTGTGGCTCTACCAGACTTCTAAGTCTCTGCTCAAGAATTCTAGAGTAACTTTTACCGGGAATGCTGAGGAGGGATATGCCTCTGTGGTTTTCACATTGTCTGTTATCACCTTTTTTAAATATAGGTATAATGATGGCAATCTCCCAATCTTTTGGTATAGTTTTGCTACACCAGGCTGCCTGGAGAACCTTCAGTAGAAGGCGCTCACCTTCGACTCCCATATATTTGACCATCTCTGGTGTTATACCATCATGACCTGCTGCTTTTCCCAGCTTAATCTTCTCAATAGCTGCCTTCAATTCTTCCATCCTGATGTTATCTTCCCCATGATTGAATTCCTTCTCAGCAGTGAGGTCCATTATTTCTGGGTCACGACTTCCCTCAGCGCCGAGGAGCTCTGAGAAGTATTCTTTCCATCTGCCCATGATATCATTTGTAGAAGTAAGCAGAGCCCCTTCCTTGTCTTTTATGAATTTAAGTGGGCACTCTTTCTCCTTCCTCATGTTCTTAAGGGTCTTATAGAACAGTTTTTGGTTTTCTCTTGCATTCTTTTCCAACTTTTCTCCAAACTCTTCCCATGATTTCTGTTTTGCTTTAAGCACAATATTTTTGGTCTCTGTTCTGAGTGCCACATATTGTTTATATTTTTCTATTTCTTTAGCTGTGTTCCTGGCTGCCAGGTATTGCTTCCATGCCCTTTTCTTTTCTCCTATTTTCAATTTGACTTCTTCTGTCCACCAAGGTGTCCTGTGTCCCCGCCTTCCACTTGGGACTTCACCACATGCTTCTACTGCAGCTGCTGTGAGGATATTCTTGAATCTGCACCAGAGAGTTTCAGTGTCCTCTGATGATTCTTCTTCAGTTCCTATTGCTTTCACTATAAGCTCCTGGTATCTAGCCTTAATATCTGGCTCTCTTAGCTTGTATGCTTTAATCCTCATCCCTTCTTGGTTGCTTGGTTTCTTGCATAGTTGTCGGTGTTGCCTTGTTGGAGCAGTTCTTTCAGTTGTTCTCTTTATTGTGACCAGATAGTGGTCACTTCCAATCTCTGGTCCTCTCATGACTCTGGCATCTCTCACAAACTTGAATGAACTTTTCCTAACTATGGCGTAGTCAATGATGGATTTTTCATTCTTTGAAGGTTCACATCTTGTGTATGCATGTATACGCTTGTGGGGGAATTTTGTGTTTGTAATGACAAGGTTCTGTTCCCTGCAGAATCTGAGAAGTCGCTTGCCATTATCATTCAAAACATCTTCACCATATCTCCCGATCACTCCGCCCCATCTAGAGTGATCATTTCCTACTCTGGCATTTAGATCTCCTAGGAGGATAATTTCATCGTGACAGTCATCTATGGTCTTTTGGAGCAGTTCAAAGAATTCTTCTTTAACATCTACTCGCTCATCTTCATTTGGCCCGTACACAATGACAAAATTGACAATTTTATCTTCTTCTTTCAGATCTAACACCATTATTCGCTCTGAGATGAATTTCCATCCCTTGATGTTACTAACTTGATTCCTGGCCACAATACAGCCAACACCTCCCTTGGCTCTCTCCGTCATAGGGACACCACTGTAGAGCAGCATACTTCCATCGTGATCTGTGATTCCTTGCCCCTTTTTCTTGGTTTCAGTCAGAGCCAAGACTCCTAATTTTGCTTTCCTCATCTCCCCAACTCGTTTTCCTTTCCGTTAATGCCTCTTATATTCCATGTTCCATAAATCGTAGTCCGTAAGCCATGCCAGTTCGTCGCCGTTAAGATCCGTCCGGTTTTCTCTCTGTAGTTACTTGTAATCGTGGTTTAAGGCAAACAGGTGATTGGCCTGTTGTGCCTTTGCTTGGTGGAGGGGCTGCCTCCTTGCGGCCTCCATGCAGGCCGTCTGGCTGATTCACGGTTACCCACTACTTCCGGAGACGCATGAAGCACTCAGGTTCAGCCAGACCCTCCTCCTTTTACAGCCGGGCTTGGGACCGGTCTTAGCGGAGTTGTAAATATATCCTTATATATATAAACGTGGTATTAGTTGCCACGGATGTGACTCCTGCAGATCTGTATGACTCACTGACCAATAAATTTGTGTGGTTAGGGGTAGGGTTAGGGTTAGATGTGACAATTGTGACGCAGGAGTTCTGACTAATCACGCACAGTCACATACACACCCAAGCAATCGACGGACTGTGAATGCCACTCAAACGGACAATTCGCCACCGATTGGGCACCAGCCGCGCGCTATTGCCGTCATATTTGAGAGATATCCAGTGGCGCCACTCCCACAAGCATCAGATTGTCGGCCAGTATATGGAACTTCTACGTCAAAATTGTCACATCTAACCCTACCCCTAACCCCAACCCCTAACGCCGCTAACCCTATCCCAAACCCTAACACAACCCCTAACGCCGCTAACCCTATCCCTAACCCAAACCCGACACCCTACGCAACCGTATGATGACTACATAACCGTACACGCAACCGTATGATGATAGGTAAGTATGTCATTTGATTCGTGACTTGTCCGCTCCATGTATTCAATGCAGCCAAGGGAGAGAACTCTCACTAAGCGATCGGCGGCTTTCCAGCTATTGGCCTGAGTTGAAAGGAGAGCCATGTATTCTATCCATTACTCAATAGAGATTTGTGACTTTTGCTTTGTAGCTTTTAAAAATCTTTTATAGTTCCATGAACAGTGACCCTGAACTCTTTGGATATTCATAATTAAGCTGTTGATAAGTTGTAAATGAATTCTTAGAAGACAGAATGTTAACTCATTAAAACTGATGCAGCACTGGTAATGTCCCCCCCCCCCCCTCCTCATTGCACCCACCATGTATTCTGTCACATTCTTTCCAACATATTTTATGATAATTGTACATTACTACTTTTTGGGATTATAAATGTAACCCGCAGTGCAGTAACTTACTCTTAAACAGAGAATTCAACTTATCAGTTTTCTTTTGCAGAGGTTTATGATCAAGATGATGAGAGTGATGAAATCACAATGGACATCTGGCAGGAAGCTTGCTGGATTGTCATCAGTTCATATTTTGATGAGAAAGGTCTTGTGCGACAGCAGTTGGATTCCTTTGATGAGTTCATCCAGATGTCTGTACAGAGAATAGTAGAGGATGCACCACCGATTGAGCTTCAGGCTGAAGCTCAGCACACATCTGGTACAGTGGAAAACCCTGTAAGTTTTGTTTTATATGGTCGATTTCTGCAGATGTTTCGTTAAGATGCTGTTTCGATGACCTGGCACATTGGTCTGACCCATTATTGCTTGTTCTCCAATGCAACAGCAACCCCAAAGACCCCATATGCAACAGCAACCCCAAAGACCCCATATGCAACAGCAACCCCAAAGACCCCATATGCAACAGCAACCCCAAATACCCCATACTCAATGTACGCAGAAGGAGTTGATTGGCATATTTCTTTGCCCTGCAGCTGGTTTCTATATGCTGGTCGTCATTTTAATATCCATTTCCAACTGGAGATTAATTGTCACTGATTCCTTTGTCTCAGCATCTCTGGAACACATCACATACAGCATGTCTGCCCTGGTCATACTTCTTACTGCACCAGTATACTAAAGAAACAGCCAGTCTGGTGGGGTGGTATTTCATTTCCTTTCACCCTGGCATATCCCTATGTGTGTAACCAAGGTAGTTTCTTGAGGCCGGTCTTTAGGATGATCTCATTCTAGCTGGAGTTTGCCAGTTTGGATCTTCTTAAGCATGCTTATTGAGTTGGTCACTATCAGTTCATGAGTTGATTTCTGTTCCGCCAGGAATTAAATTGCCCTGGTGACAGCTGCTGCCTCCATCAGCAGACTGGTCAGTAGCATGTCCTTTGCAGAACCTTGCTCCCATAACAACCTTCCGGCAAACTTCTCTGTCACAAGCAAGATGTCCTGCATCCGATACACCCATCTGGAGATCATCCGCCTCGTCCTGCACCCATCTTCTTTTTGGCCTTCCTCTCCCTCTCTTCCCAGGCATATACCCCTCCATTATTGTTCTCTCTTAACCTTTGTGACGTTTCAAATGACCAAAATATTTCAGTTTTCTATGTTTTATCGTCTTTAATAGCCACCCATCTTCAGTATTCAGTTCTTGAAGTATAGATGCATTTGTTTTTTCTCTACCCATGATATTCTTAAAACCTATCTACAACATTTGTATTTAAAAGCATTTATGCACTGTTCAGCTTATTTAGTTGGTGTCCAGGTCTCAGTTTTGGTACTCAATTTGTGTAGGGTGAATAGACTCATTACCTCCCTTTTCCCAGACAAGCATGTCATAAAAGGCAATTTATTAGTGGTGCTTCCTTTGTTGTCTCTCTGCATATAACAGAGAGACAGTGTAGCAAAAATCTACCAACAGATAAAAATAAACTAGATCTGTTAAACTTATATGCATCCAAATGCATGTTCTGGGACAAGATCAAAACCCAGAAGTGGATGAGCAGCCAGAGTTTTCTGCCGTTTACAGCCTGTGAACACAAAGAAAAAGATGATAGTAATTCTAAAGGACTTCAAAACAAGCTGAATCATTCTTCATGTGACTTTCAGTGGAAAACTTGCTGAAGAAAAAGAGCTGCTAAGTAAATGTAATTCTCGCTACCTTCCTTTCTGGTTCCATATTAATCATTAGCTTTAGTTGCATAAATAAAGAACTCCATCATGAAACAAATACAGACTGTAAACTTTGTTGAAGGGTCAGTGATCATGTGGAAATAAAAAAAAGTTCAAACAGGACAGCTGACAAATTTAACTGGAAAAGAACAATGGAAAGACGAGATAATTGCCTTCAAGGCATAACAACAGAGTAAAATCAAGAAGGGACCATGACTTGATACTATAAATCTAAATGAAATGGCTTACTTTACTCACACAGGATGACTGGTAAGAAACATGTTGTTTATGATAATTAATCTGATGTCCCGCATATTGTTTATTTGTGTATGTAACTCCATATGATACTTGAATGTCCTTTTTTGTTTGTTTCAGCCTCGCTACGTGCTAAAGTTTGAGCAGATTTATTTGTCTAAGCCAACACACTGGGAGAAAGATGGTGCGCCAAGCCCAATGATGCCCAACGAAGCTCGCCTTCGAAATCTTACGTAAGTAATTATCTCAGCAGTTTTTTAATATTATTAAAACAGTATTTTTGTTATATTTAGTGTCATCTTTTTTTGTATGTGTTAAAAAAAAATATTGGTTTTGAACCATTTATTCTTTTTTGCATTCTTTTTATCCTTTGTTCCACACTGATTTTGTAATTTGCACAGTCTGAAAATTTGCTAATTTTTGTGTCTGATGATCTGCAGCATCTTCTTGATGGCCTGCATATTCTGATTTCATTTTTTTTTCTACTGGAATATCAATGATTTTTTATTTATACTTGCCATATACATATGAGAGGAGATGAATCAAATCTTGGAAAGAAATAATGGTATGGGTATCCAACGACTTTTCTTGAATAGGCAAGTGACTAAGAAGAAAGAAAGGATTCACCAAAATATCAGTCCTCAAGACTGAGTAGAGGCTTGAAAGATCGTTGAAAATATAACTCACTTAGACCTGAACCCAGATGAATTGTAATTTCAAATCCCCATATTTGTTCCTCCCTATTTAAGGGTGAAAATGAATAGATCTACTGCGGATATCGCAGCCTAGCTGCAAACCAAAACATGTGCCAACAGCCCTTTTAAGGATTAACACTACCAGACCTAAGGCCCTGAACCTAACTGTCCCTATAACCTGAGCTCCTGGGCATTACAGCGAAAAACCAACATGATGTACAAAAATATTAGTTACATGCAAACGAGTGGCTAGAATATGATGAAACTTGGAGACATTGTAGAAAATAGGCTTACGTTTTATCTAGCGCCAATATTCCACCTTTGTGTGCGAATTCACTCATCAGGATCAACTTTAATTCACAAAGTGAACACCAGATGTTGCCGTTTGATGGACACACCCCCTCCTACTATCGATCTATTTCAAGATTGATAATTTTCAAGATTTTTCTCATCATTCGCGCTCTCACTGACAGTGTCACTTCAAGAACATATTCTTTCTGAAATTATCACAGATAATGAATATATATATATCACAGAGTCTGAATAAACCAAAGTATCGATCACCTATTGGACTGTGAAAAGCCTAGAACTTTGTTCAGTAGCCGCTCGCTTCGTTCTGAATTTTCTGAATTTTTTCATGTTAAAACACACACAATTGATTCACACACACGGGGAAGCCATTTGCAATGTCTAACAAAGCGGACTGAGATAATTGGTTGGTAATTTTTAGTCAGTGACGTATCTTCCTCACGCACTATGCAAATAACCGAAAATTAGGGCCAGCGGTATAGAGAACAGTTATGAAATTCCCGGAAAACCGGGCCAGCGGTCTGGTAGGGTTAACACAGAAGCAATTTTAATACTTATCTGTATGCGAATGTCCTTTTGTTTCTAATTTTACTACAGATGTTAATCTGTCTTTCACTAAACTTTGTTAATAGCCAGTAGTTTACCATTTGCAGGTATTCCGCTCCCTTGTATGTAGATATCACAAAGACTGTAATAAAAGAGGGCGAGGATCCGGTGGAGACAATGCATCAGAAGACATACATAGGCAAAATCCCTATCATGTTGCGGTCCACTTACTGTCTCTTGAGTGGCCTGGCTGATCGTGATTTAACTGAGTTGAATGAGTGCCCTCTTGACCCTGGTGGCTACTTTATCATTAACGGCTCAGAAAAAGTGTTAATTGCTCAAGAAAAAATGGCCACAAATACTGGTATGTATCATTTATTATTCTAGGGTAATTATATTTTGTTCATACGTCTGTTGTCTTATATTAGCCAGTGGACTCTTCAAGTCTGCATTGTCTGTTCAAGTAAGGTAAACACAGTGATTGAGACCCTACAAGCTTGTTGTGAAAGATGGAGACATATATGCTTTCTGCAGAGTGACAAACATTGCTTCAGAAGTTCTGGGCAAGTTTCCTTTGGATACTTTATCCAGGGAATGCTTGTTTGTTGAGAAACAAACAGGCAGATAGATTAGCTGGTTCTGCACCACTTGGTGGTAAACTAATGTAAGACCAAGGCATCAAGGCATTTTGGGATCAAGTAATAGTGCTGAGGTACAAGTAGATCACTGTCTGAAGAGAATGGTGCAGCAGGGAGTGGCCAGAGGATCTGCCCGACACTGTACACCCAGGAAAGGTGAGGCGGATGTGCAGTCAAACTGCTATTGGTACGATCGGAATTAGAACTCTGTGCTGGCTGCTAAAGATGGGGATGAAGCACTTATAGGAATTTCTTGATTGCTCTGGTGTCGCTTCTTAACTTAATTCTAAACAGACAAGCTGAGAAACATTAGATCGGAGCAGAACTCTCGTTTCTAAGAAATGCAAATATATCTTCTTCTTCTTCGCGTTCACTGGCTGTAAATTCCGGTGGAAAGTTCTGGTTGTTCGTTCACTTCTGGACTGCAGTCCTGTTCCAGAACCTGAGTGTTGCGTGTGCATCAGTTTGTCAGATCTGTATGCAGACTGTTGGTTCCTTGCCTCTCAGGCAGATGCACTCCGATTTCGAAGGAAGCTTCCAATTAGTCGACTCTTACGACATGCTTTTGGGTAGGCAGGGGGTCTATTCTTGTTTTTCCCATAGTAGGGCCCCGGAACCCACACGGGGACATGCAAATATATCACAGACGGACATGAAAAAAAGGGAAGCAGCCCTTTAGGATTATTAGAGCTGCTAATTTATAGAGGAATTAAGAATTTTAGAGGTTAAGTATGACTGACCCTGGATGTGATGATACCATCTGCTCTGAGACACAAATTCCACTGAATCCAGTAGAAGATTTTTTTCGGGGGTGGTATATGGCTGAGAAAAGCCTAGTGGTCAAATGCTTAGAATAAATTGAACATAGTAGCATTGTAACTTAAAATGCATCTCATAAGAGGCAACTAGGGAGGGTTATTAAAAGACTCATCCAGTGGGAAATGTTAGCTGCAAAATGCAGTCAGTCAAGAAAACATTTACAAAAGGCATGGCAATAGATAGTAGAGCATGTCTGCTCCATTGGGAAGTGACAGGGAGTAGAAGAAACATACATTATGTCGGATCAGACTTTTACCGAAAAGCTATAAGGATCATTCTGGAACTCTGATACTTAATTGACTGTGTTTTCTGTGTCCGCAGTGTATGTTTTTCAGCAGAAGGATTCCAAGTATGCTTTCAAGACAGAAATCCGTTCTTGTCTGGAGCATTCTTCTCGTCCAACCAGTACACTGTGGGTGAACATGATGGCAAGAGGAGGGCAGGTTGGTATAGTTGTAACTCTTTCAGTACCATACAGTTGCTACTTCAACAGTTTCTAGCTCCGAGTTCTTGCTACCTCAGCAGTTTCTAGCTCAGAGTTCTTGCTACTTCAACAGTTTCTAGCTCAGAGTTCTTGCTACCTCAGCAGTTTCTAGCTCAGAGTTCTTGCAACTTCAGCAGTTTCTAGCTCAGAGTTCTTGCTACTTCAACAGTTTCCAGCTCAGAGTTCTTGCTACTTCAACAGTTTCTAGCTCAGAGTTCTTCCTACTTCAGCAGTTTCTAGCTCAGAGTTCTTGCTACTTCATCAGTTTCTAGCTCAGAGTTCTTGCTACTTCAGCAGTTTCTAGCTCAGAGTTCTTGCTACTTCAACAGTTTCCAGCTCAGAGTTCTTGCTACTTCAGCAGTTTCTTGTTCAGAGTTAATGCTACTTAAACATTTTCTAGCTCATAGTTCTTTCTACTTTAGCAGTTTCTAGCTCAGTTCTTGCTACTTTAGCAGTTTTGAGCTCACAGAGTTCATATACCGTATGCAATAATAAAAATATGAAATAGGATTTAAAAAAAATTTACTTGCTGTAAACAGATGGAAAGTCCTGGTTCTTCATCCATTTCTAGACTTTTAGTATATATTTTTTCAGAACTTTTGTGTGCATGTCTGTTTAACAGATCTGGCTTATTTGTATGCCGACTGTTGGTTTCTCTTCCTACGGACAGGTGCACTCTGACTGTAAAGGAAACACCCCACATTTATTGATGTTTCTGACATGTTGTTATGGTAGTGTGGTGAGGTGATTTCGGTCACAGGCGTGAAGGAAAGTTAAGTCTGATGTGATGTGTATAAGGAGATACTCCGTACCTCACTCGGGCGCCAGTCTGTCACTGTTCTGGTTTTACGGAACCTCATGCAAGACTCCTGCTGCATGTCCCCGTTGTGTGCCACAGATAATGTCTCAAATGAGCATTAACAGAGTTGGCAGGGGATCTCGGAGCTGGCATCTCTCACAGTCAGATTCTACCTGCGTACACCCTCTGTCAATCCTCAGCGTCGTCGTCATCACGCTGAGGTAGACAGCGACAGCAACTTTTCATCTGCTGGCTAGGTAATAATGTCCGACAAAGTTGTTCTATGGCATACAAGCAAGCCAAAAGTCTGACCGTCATAATTCGTACTGATTAGAAAAAAGCCCAGATGTCCGTACACACTGGCCCCACTCGCCCGAGTGTTGGGACCAAACAGGTGAATCCATGCCTGATGCATGCTTTTCTATACTGTCGTGCTAAGGGCACAGCTGAAACAACGTTAAAGGTGTCTAACGTGCAATGAAGAAGAATGTACCTATTTGGGTGGCCACAAAAGTCCAGAACCCACGGGCTGCTCTTTGCTGATCTCCGGAGGGTGCAGCCCATGTCGAGCGGGAAGCCTAATACGGTTGTGAGGTTAAACAGTTATGTGCAGGACGTGACGATTCCTTGGGTGAGCCCAGAACCAGAGCATTATGTGTCGGCTCTGCATCTATGGAAGCCTCCTTGGATGGCGGGGGATGCCCATCATCTGACCCTGCCTTTCCTTGAGGGCTAACCGTTACACACAGGGCTGCCCCAAAGGGGGTACTCCTGGAGGCAACACCTGTGGAGAAAGGGACAAAGAGGTCACCACACAAATAAGGTAACATCTCGACCCACACAAAACATTGGCCACAGTCATCCTAGAAATAGGCCTGACGTCTTCCCTCGAAGTCGGATTACATCTGCCTGCAAGGCAGGGAATGGCAAAAGCCATTAAAACGGTTGTACACGCAAAACTCGGGTCCAGGCAAATGCCTAAAGTTCAAGCGGACGATTAACCTGGACCCACAGCCGGTGAACGAAGAAGAAGAAGTTATGGTGGTAGTGGGTCTGTTTCCCAAAAAATCGGGCCCCAGAACCATACGAGGCAGATGAGTTGGAATAGTAACTGCTTTGGACAAAAAAATGGAACAGATGATGTTTAACAGTATGTACCAAGTCAGTAGAGTAATCTTATACGTGTTTAAAATATTTATTTATTAATTTTAGGTTTAAAAAATGGTGGTGGTCTTATACAGGGGGGCATCTTATTCACGGAAAAATAAGATAAGTAATCATAACCTCTGGAAATTTAGTCTTTAATTTTCTGTTGTTACTTCTCAGGGATCGAAAAAGAGCGCCATCGGACAGAGAATCATTGCAATCTTGCCATACATTAGGCAGGAGATCCCCATCATCATTGTGTTCAGAGCCTTGGCTTTCGTATCAGACAGGGACATCCTGGAGCATATTATTTATGATTTTGATGATCCTGAGATGATGGAGATGGTAAGTTTTGTGTGTTTAATTAAACAACAATAATGTGGTGACACCTCGAGGAATGGCTGGCTGTATGACTAGAGCACTAGTCTTGTGTGCACGACTCATAAGCAAAAGAGATTTATTTTTTGGGAGCAGATATAAATAATCTTAACCAGCTGTTTATACATCATGTAGGGCATGGATTCCTAATTTATGGGCCCCTAATAGAGGGTTGGCTAGTAAAGACAATAAAACAAAGAAAATGTGAAATATTTTGGTCACTTGAAACGTCATGGAAGTCTAGAGAGAACAATAATGGAGGGGTATATGCCTGGGAAGAGAGGAAGAGGAAGGCCAAGGAGAAGATGGGTGCAGGATGTGGCAGATGATCTCCAGATGGGTGTATCAGACGCAGGACATCTTGCTCATGATAGGAAGGTTTTCCGGAGGGTTGTTATGGCAGCGAGGTTCCGCGAGGGACATGCTACTGAATGAATGAATGAATAGAGCTGTGAAGGGTTTTCTTTGTGGTCGATGGCAGTGGTAAGCTATGAAAATTGTATCCAGTCAGTGACGCTGTGTTATTGATTACAGGCGTGAGAGAAAAGTTAAGGCCGTGTGATATGTATAAGGAGTTACTCTGTACCTAACCTCGGGTGCCAGTCGGCTCTTGGGTGGTTTTACGGATCCTTGTTTATTTATTTTAAGAAACAATTTTAAAATGTATACAACTATAGAAATGCCTTTATGTAAATGTTTTCAAGGGCTGTTTTCACAAATTTTTACTGGTTCATGGTCCTTATTTTTTTAAAGCCCTCTCATCATGGCAAAGGGTTAACAGGGCGATTGGTACACCCAAAGAGTGCCCTAGAACCCATGAGGAAATTCTTGAATTTAAAACAGTGTATATATGATATATATTGTATCATAATATAGATAGCATGTATAACTGATGTTTCTTCTGACATACTTCAAGTGTTTATGTCTTTAAATCATTCTCAGGTTAAACCTTCATTAGATGAAGCCTTTGTCATCCAGGAGCAGAATGTAGCTCTGAACTTCATCGGTGCCAGAGGTGTTAGGCCAGGTGTTACCAAAGAGAAGCGAGTTAAATACGCCAAGGAAATTTTACAGAAGGAAATGTTACCTCATGTTGGTGTCAGCGAGTTTTGTGAAACAAAGAAAGCCTATTTCTTGGGGTAAGTATTTGTGTATAGTAATATAAACAGTAAAAAAAGATGTCTTGTATTTGTAAGGATGTTGAGCATGAAATTTTGTTGTGGGAAATATAAGAATAAGAAAGCAAAGCGCAAGGGTAGATCAAGATGGGGGAACATATAGAGATACTGAAATAGAAATACACACTATTGTTCATGGCATATTTCTTGTATGTTTGAGTCATATCATTTCTAAAGGTTTCCTGTCCAGGACATTTTGATGTGAGGTGTAATGAGCATGCTGATTAATTTGCTGCTGCTGATCCTGTTGGTGGTGAGCTAGTTTATAATAAAGTGGATGACTTGAAAGCTTTCTGAAATTAAATGGACATTGCAACAGAAAAGACACAGAATCCGTGCACTGAAACATTAATTCAAAAAGGGGGGGGGGGGTGTGAACAGATGTTCTTGAAGATATTCAAATCTGAGAGGGAAACAAAGGTGGACTCAGGTTGCAGTTATTACTATTAGCATGTTGACTTTTCGTTGGCTATTGGTTAGAGAGATGGAGCATGTGTGGGAATGTCCTGAGTGCAGTGATGTAAGTTCTTGATTCACTGATTCATCTTGTTTCTAACATAAAAAAATGAGTCAATGTTTAAGGTGGTGTGTCCATGAAGCATTTGCACATGCAATGTTTGGGACTAATTGTATTCACCATTTTCACAACTATTTGCAGAAAAAATCTTGTAAAACCTTTTCTGGCCACATCATTTCACAATGTTTTCATTGTATTTGTCTTTAGGTACATGGTGCATAGGTTACTCCTGGCAGCCCTTGGTCGTAGAGAAGTTGATGACAGAGATCACTACGGGAACAAGCGTTTGGACTTGGCAGGTCCTTTGCTTGCATTTCTGTTCAGGGGGTGAGTGAATATCTTCCTTTTCCGCAAGTGTTAACTCCAGCGGAAAGTTCTGGTTGTTTTTCTGCTTCTGTACTTCAATCTTGTCCAGTACTTGAGTTTTGGTGCACATCCGCTTTTTAGATCTGCCTTATTTCTATGCTTTTAGTTCTCTGCCTCTCAGGCAGATGTTCTCTGACTTTGAAGGAAATCTCTAATTAGTTGACTCCTACAACAGGCTTGTTAGGGAGGCAGTGAGTCTATTTTTTTTGTCAACCACAATGGAAACTCAGGAACCCAGGTGGTGAGATTTTTTGTGTTGGTGTCCTTTATCTCTCACTGGGGGGACTTCACCCAACTCTGGTCAAGCTTTCCTAGCTGTTACCATCTGCTACAGCTGTTCCTGTCCTACCAGTTGTGTTTATCTGTCTCTTTTTAATTCTGTTCATCTGTTTTTACCATCCTTCTCTTTTATCCTATGAGTTCCAGTGACAGTGCATGCTTATTAGATTGTTATCAGGTATGATTCTCTTTTAAGTATGAATAATTAAATATCACTGTTTACTAGGTGAGTATAATGGAACTACCTGTGAAATCATGTATACGCACAAGTAGGAATGAGCTTGTAAATAATGCCATTACAAAGTGAATTAATTAGAGTCAGTTTATTGTATTCTTAGTGCTATGACGTGACTGTTGTTACCCAAATTAGCGGTCTGCACTGTACCAATAATAGAAAGCATTATTATTGCAGCATAATTGAAACACAGTTGTAATTATTTGTAACTGTTGTGACAAAATATTACCAGGTTGTTTCTTAGTTATGAGATGTTTTCTTTTTATCAACAGCCTTTTCCGCAACTTGATGAAGGAGGTGCGAATGTATGCTCAGAAGTTTATTGACAGGAGCAAAGAATTCAGCATGGAGCTGGCTATCAAAACCAGAATCATCACCGATGGCTTGAAGTATTCTCTGGCCACTGGCAACTGGGGTGACCAGAAGAAAGCTCATCAGGCTAGAGCCGGAGTCTCTCAGGTAACCCTTGTTTACATGCTTTGTTTTTCATTCTAGCAGATGCTGTTTACATGTTCCCACATGGCACCTTTTCCCCTCACATCCATTACTGCAATCACTGGGCTGGCACTGAAAGAAAAGTGAAGAGATTCAAACAGGTTTGGGGAGGGTTTAAGACCACTTTAGTTTGCATGGATATCTCCAAAAAATGTACTGGTCTCTCCTTATCTGAGGGGGATAGACATCTGATAGACCCCCCTAGGATGGTGTAACCACAGACATGTTGTATTCACTACACCAGAGTTACTTAGATGCTAATAGTTGTTTCAAGAAAAATTACATTTGGAATATTTTGCTTCAGTTAAAAGTTACGTAGGTTTTGTGAAAAGTAATACTTCGTTGTGACCTATTTGGAGTGGGAATTCACATGTTTGCCTTTCACACATTGTAAAGTGTATAATGACAGCGTTGAAAATACAGTTGGGTGTGAAAGTTACCAGAATTGCTGTTAGATGGCTTTAGCATAATGCCAGCAGCATGTTGTAACCTCTGAGTTGGGCTGCCCAATTTAATGTGATAACAAAATTAATAATTATTTTTAGATAAGATGTGGCAGTTTTATTTAAAAGTATTTTACATTCCTTTTTCTAGGTGTTGAACAGACTTACATTTGCATCCACCCTGTCACATTTGCGTCGACTCAATTCTCCAATCGGTAGAGATGGAAAGTTGGCACGTCCTAGGCAGCTGCACAACACCCACTGGGGCATGATTTGCCCTGCAGAAACACCAGAGGTAATCATTGTTTGAGTTCAAAACATATGTCATTGTAGTAGTTGTGTTTGTTCTATTGTATTTTGTCTCGTAGCTGCATGGACTCAACTCTGTTAGTTGTAAGCAACACATTTTATGTGATAGCTGTTCTGTAATGATGCATTAGTGAATTTATGAAATAACATGGTACTTTAATTTGAATTCTTCCCAAATGGGAAATCCAGGAGTTCCGGTAAAGTCAAAAATTGTAAGGGGTGTTATGGGTTAGGCTTATGGTTAGTTGCATCTCTGAGGTGCTCAGGACTGGCAAAGATCAGTTTCATTTTCGTGCCACGACACGCAGACATTCTCTTGCCATTGTGCCACCAAATTATAGCTTAAGAGTTCATTTTAGACCATAATATCCCTGGAAAATTAGACTTTCCCGGAAATTATTATAGCCTTTGGGGTAATTGAAATTGAAGTACCAAAAAAAAACATAATAGCACTTTAGGCACACAGATGTCCTGTTCGCTCTTGAAACTATTGCAAAGTTTAAAATTGATAATTTCATTAACAGGTTAATTGCACACTTCAAATGTATATCATGCCTCATACTTGCAGGAACTACACCAAAATCAATATTCATCTTCTTCAGATAGGTTTTTCATTTGATATTTTGTTATCAGCTAGCCTGCCATAGTCTTAAAAATGTCTCCTATTTGAGAGTCTTTATGTAGAGCAGGGCTATTCAGCTAAGTATACTCATGGACCAAAACTTTGAAACTGGGGGCTCTCAAGGGCCAAAAGCCTGAGCCCAAGCAAAGAAAGCTAATTAATACAATACAGGTGGCAGTGATCCGTGGGCCACTTGCTCGACAACTGAGGACTGCCAGTTAAAAATCATTTCTGTAGTGGATCCCGTGCAGGATGTGCTATCATCAAGGAAAACAGCTGTATTCATACAGTGCCAAAGATACAAGTACTGATATTTGTAACTTCTGTTGCAGGGTGCTGCTGTCGGTCTGGTGAAGAATTTGGCCCTCATGGCTTACATTTCTGTCGGATCCCAGCCATCACCAATTCTTGAGTTCTTGGAGGAATGGAGTATGGAAAATCTTGAGGAAGTTGCTCCCTCCGCAATTCAAGAGTAAGAGAAGCTATTCAATATATTTATTGGAATGCAGAGTTGTTGTAATTTAAGGATAAGTTTTCTTGGTTTTTTTCACTATAAAAAATGTGTCCCAGTGTTGGACGCAATTTGTTGTTGTTTTAAAGTCCCACCCTGGTCCGCCAGGGACCTAATATAACCCAACATTTGGGCGGAACACAGGGTTTCTGGGACCTGTCCCCGGGTGATCCTCATCCAAATGGTGGTGCTTTGTGTAACTGTGTTTATCTCTTGGTACGATGTCCTGGTGGTGTTGAACGTCGCCATCATCGTTTTTTTCCCCACACCATTGTCTACAGTTTTTTCTTATGCGATATGCTTTCAATATTCAGCATGCACATTTATTAATTTACATTAAGGTTTGGGTAAAAATTAAATTTGTTTGTTGATATTTTACATTATATAAAGACTTGAATCTGCATGTTACATAATTTTGTTTGGTTGCTTATGCGCAGTGATAGTAGTACTAGTAAGTAAAGTAAAAATCCCTTTTCACGCCTTTGGGCAAATTGGGTATATGGGAAGAGCTTCCATATTTTTACAGACCATGGGTAATATGGTCAGCATTATGCTGGCCGTCTTTACCTCCCCAGGACCGCCATCCTGGTATCCATTTTAGGCTGGTTCGACCTGCGACGCCCCATACCATGAAAAAAACCTGCCAACCAGCAGTAGGTTTCGATCACAGTATGTTGGAATTATGAGTCGGACTTACAACGCCTACGCCACGGACGTCGCACTAGTAACTAGTATTATAAGGTAACTTCAGAGTATTGTCCCCCTTATTTTACTGCTTTTATATTTCCTTTGCAATTTTGAAACATATATTTAGTAGGTTTTTTAAAATTTATTTATTTCGAAGAGGTACATATTAACAGTATTAACAATGCTTGTTTTCAGCGCTACCAAAATTTTTGTCAACGGATGCTGGGTGGGCATACACAGAGACCCTGATCACCTCATGACCACTCTTCGCAAACTCAGAAGAGAAATGGATGTTATCGTTTCAGAGGTATGTTTTTTGTAGAAATGTTGAAATGTTGAAAGGTATAAATATTGACTCAGAAGAAAGCTAAAATGTTGATATGAATAAACGTGTTAATTGTAGTTTCAGGTTCAAATTAAATATCCTAACCTACACAGTTCGTTGTGACAGCACTAGCCATGTGGCCCTAGAACCCCATGCTCATGACTGCCCTAAAACAGACAATTTTGAGGATCCGCTGGCTGAGCGTCAATAACGTCAGGCTCTGATGCGGGAGACCCGGGTTCATTGACGGTAATTTGATGGTTTTCTATCAAGGGCAAAATTAAATACCCTAACCTCAGTGATAGCACTAGCCATGTGACCCAGGCTCATGACTTTGTGTCTGCACCATCCTAAAAGGTTGTAAAACAGTTGTGACCGTTGGTTCAGGCGTATCTGAAATTTTAAGATGCATAAATGTTATGGTGCAGTCTTGAAATGTTCTTCTACCCTTAATCTCCCCCACATAGGCCCTCAACCAGCCGATGCTAACACATCCTATTCTGTGCTGGCATGCAGCTCACCTTATGTCCTCCTCATCTTTTGAATTGTTAATATGCTTAAAAGTTCGTCCAGTTCAGCCCCAAAGGATTCTCAGCCAAACCTTTATGGAAAGAAAAAGAAATTGGTCATCCCAACTTTTACTTTTGATATACGTGAATTCCTAATTTGTATGTTTTCCCTATATTATCTTTCATGTTATTAGATTTACCTATCATGACTTGTCCCTAGTAAATCAGTCAAGTATACACTTTATTTTCTTTATTCATCTACACCGTAAAAAGAATCAGTAAATAAATAAATATTAGAAAATAGTTCCAGTTACCATTTTTTATTATAATAAATTGCTTGATATTCCATTTTGATTTCTTTTGAAATATACTCTTTCTCTAGGTGTCAATGATTCGGGATTTTGCTGACAGGGAGATTCGCATTTACACTGATGCTGGTAGAATTTGTCGACCTCTACTCATTGTAGAAAACCAGAAGATGCTTCTGAAACAGAGTCACATAAAACAGTTGAAACAAAGAGAGTACAACAATTACAGGTACTTTTAATTTCATGGGGAACTGTGGTAGTGGGGGTTAAGCGCTCTTTGGGAGCAAGTAAATATTTGCAGAGGCACAAATAGATCATCAGGGTCTTCCCTATGTGGGTTCCGGGGCCCTATGTTGGGAAAAACAAGAGCAGACCCACTGCCTGCCCAAAAGTATGTGGTAGAGTTGACTAATTGGGAGCTTCCTTTTGAAGCCAGAGAATGTCTGCCTGAGAGGCAAAGAACCAGCTGTTAAATGAGTCAGACCTGTGAAACAGATTACTCATTTTCTGGAACAGGGCTAGAGTCCAGAAGTGGATGAAGAACCAGAACTTTCTGCTGGAGTTTACAGCCGGTGAACGCGAAGAAGAAGATTTTCAGGGTCTGAAGAGAATGGTGCAGCGAGGAGCGACTAGGGAATTCTGGCTGAGACAGACATGCAACCAGATGATTACTGCTAACATTGTAATTGGAACGATTTGCTTGCTTCTGAAGATGGGGAAGGAGTGCTTATGGGAATGTCCTTAGTTCTGTGATGTCAGTTTTGAGTTTCAGAAAGGAAGTACCTATGTGTGATATTATATCTGTTCTAGGGCTGAACTATTATTTCAGACCTGTTCTGCTAAATGTAAAAGAATCTGTTTTTATGAAAAGAATAAATTGAGAAGTGCTTGGGGGTGGTAAAGATGTCATGTTTAAGACATTTGTCGGGAACACCTTGGACATCCACAGTAACATTGATTGCCTAAATAAAGCTTGTAAAAATGAGACGCTACTTTAAGAAAGAGATATTTTTAGTGGGTCGTGTAATGAGAGGAGAGGGCATTTGAGCCGAGACAGCTGAAGAAGAAAGAGACAGACAGAAAGAAATGATGCGAGTTCATCTAAATTAAGAAATTTGAGTTAAATTGATGCATATGATTCCGGTGATGAGCGGCTGTTAGTGTTGGCTGTTGAGATTTGTCTTTCAGATTGTTGTGTTCTCTTGTCATGGACTTCGATATTGTGCGCGTTTTCAACGTAAGGTACCAATATTTTAATGGGAGTAGTGTGTATTATCGTTATGCTGTGTCAGGGCGGGATGATGACTGACAGAAATTGCAGCCTCAACCAACACACTGTGCTAGCAGTGTTTTCATTGCAGCAGTCCACTGTCCAGGTAGACAGAACTTGTCAGCAGAGGACTGTAGCTGTTCAGAGAACAAATTTGACAAAAGTTGTCCTTAGAAACTAAATATGTAAGCCATTATTTTTGATGTGCAGGAATCAACACATGTGGTTAACTCACTGGCCAGGTCGATCCATAACAGCAAGGCCTGAGAACTGAAGACTCTGGCAGTCAGCTGATGATAACGATCTTTTGTAGAGCCGTGTCTCCTTAGCCCCATTTATCACTAATCTGCAGATGCAATTGTTCTTTATTATAGTTTCATACAGCAGATTTTCATTTCCAATAGGGAAATGACATTTATCGCTGTATACATCTGGTTATTGTTTTGCTATGTACAAAAAACATACACTCATACATTGATCTGTCGTCAATCCAGCTGGCAAGATCTGGTGGCCAGTGGTGTGGTGGAGTACATTGATCCGCTAGAGGAGGAGACGGTTATGCTGGCCATGACCCCAGCAGACTTCATGCACCAGGAGGGCAAGGACGTGTCATACTGCTCTACTTATACTCACTGTGAAATTCACCCGGCAATGATCCTTGGTGTTTGTGCCTCCATCATTCCATTTCCTGATCACAACCAGGTAGGGTACAGATTCGTTTTTACAAACTCACATGATTAGAAAATTCTGATTTTGTCCCAGTAGGTCATAGCTGCTGCCTAAGGATTGCTTGCAGTAATGACAGCAGAATATGGGTGTACTATCCTGTCACATGAGACTGACAGAAACCAAAAATATGTAATTTAAAAAAAATCACAAGTAGTGCATGGTGCTTTGGAAATAAGCACATGCTGTGATCAAAGTTAAATCATTTGTCCTGTCTATTGCTGTTTTGCTGCTATTTCCAAAATTTGCCATTTCAGGAGAACCAGTTAAAAACACTTGTCACCTCTTAATAGAGCCTGACAAATCATGCTGTCCAGTAGCACTTTAGACAAGTCTGCAACAGGACAGGAAGTTATGCCTAGATCTGGGAGTTAGGGAGGCAACTCTAATAAGCAGTTGAATTCAGGATCTGTCTATATCTTCTTCTATATAATTTTACATTCCTTCATTTCTCTTTCTGCTGTGCTTCCCTAGGTTTCCTTATGTTGTCTCTGTCTCCTTTTCTCTACTGCCATTCATTGAAAAGCTGTCCTTAACTAAATGGCATGAAACATTCTACAGGCACATTCTGCAGGCACATTGAAGCCATCTCTACCTTCATCAGTTGATAACATTTGCCTGTGATTAAATTTTCTTTCCCTTGTCAGTCCTTCATCTGTGATCTTGTTTGACCAAAATATTCATTCCTTCAACATTTCTTTTGAAAAGTCTATAGTGTATGTGTTGAATTCAAGATAGGGTGTTCTGAATAACATATGGATGTGATCTACAAGATACACCCACATATTTTTCAGCAGGAAATAATAATGCTGTCAGAATATTTATTTAAAGTGTTTTGTGTGTGTATACTATGATTAAATCTAAGACATTTATTCTTCTGCCTTTCTAGCCCCTAGTGGAGCATAGGCCCTCAACCAACTCACACCAAGTCGTTTTTTTTCTTTTGCTATCACATGCAGCTCTCTCCATGTCCTCCCCGTCTTTCTAACTTCATTCTTCAGCTCCCTTCTTCATGTGGTTTTTGGCCTTCCTTTATTCATATGCCCCTGGGGGTTCCAGTGCAAAGACATTCTTACTATATTGTTCTCCGGTTTTGTTAATGTGTGTCCTATCCAACCCCAGCGTCTTTTCTTCACCTCTTAGTCCACTGGAGCTTGCTTAGTTCTCTCCCAAAGCTCTACATTAGTGATTTTATCATCTATCATACCATTTAATTCAAGACAGTTATGCTGAACATGAACCCAGCAGACTTTTCATTTCTTGAACCCGATAAAGCAGTGCATATGGCATGATGACAGGAAAAACACATTTTTACAGCCCTCTTCCATTAAGGACTCAGGGGAAGACTTGTAGAGGAGCTTAAAATATTGGATTAAAAGCACATTGATAGATGTTGAAATTCAGGTTATAACACATTTAGAGTTTCTGTTTTCTCACAGTCACCTCGTAACACATACCAGTCTGCTATGGGTAAACAGGCTATGGGCGTGTACATCACAAACTATCATGTGCGGATGGACACTCTTGCACATGGATTGTTTTATCCACAAAAGCCACTTGTTACCACCAGATCCATGGAGTACTTGCGGTTTAGAGAGTTGCCAGCAGGTGAGTTTTCTGTCTTTGCTTTGTTGAATATTATGGTCTTTAGGTTTTTAGTTTTTAAATAGGTATTGGGAAAAACCACCTGAACGAGTAAACTAGTCAGCCTCCCAAATGAAATACGTAAACAGATGTTGAAATGAACGTTCTGGTTAGAAAGTTGTCAGCCGCACACAAGGCGCACAGAGATATAGCCACATATTATTGAATGTTGAGAGTCGAGATCATAGCACTCGGAGCATTTCCGTAAGCGCTACAACCCCATCTTTAATAGCAGTTGCAGAGTTCCAATGGCATCTCATTGTAGGTCGGTCTTGCCTTTTCCTTGAGTGTGGAGCATCAGCCAGCTCCCCGGGTCACTACTCGCAGCACCATTCCCTTATAGACTGTGAGGAACTGTTAATGCCTTCACAGAGTTCACTGGTTCCCAAAGGACCCTTACTTCTAGTTTGTCATGCATCAATTCACCACCAAAAATGCAAAACTAGCCAGTCTGTCTGCCTGTTTCTTTCCCAACACTCCTGGAGAATGACCTGAAAGAATTTATCTTGGACCTCTGAAGTGATGCTTGCCTTTCTGCACGGAACATGCCTGTTTCCACCTTTCTCACCATGCTTTGTGAGTCAATTACAATTACAGCATGTGTGTACAGCTAGTTCTGAAGCCAGCGGAAGGCTGCACATTGACGGCATCCACGTCCATTCTCAGACATTGATGTTGTGGTATCATATGTGACTAAGTGATGTCCATTCGCTTTTGCTGTGAACCCCTATGCACTTCTTCTACATTTTCAACATAAAACTATCTGTATAGACAATCATCTGGGCGAGAATTGTCATGAATCTTTTGTCAAACTTCTGATTCTGCAGCACCCACTTGCCAGCTCTTGCACCCACTGCCCAGTGTGATTAGAACCCTACACAAGTACAACTACATAAAAGACTACATATAATAACTTAGCATAACAGAGCTGAATGGTGAAACTGTTTTTTTCTAATTTCAGGGATAAACTCTATTGTAGCCATTGCCTCCTATACTGGATACAACCAAGAGGACTCTGTCATTCTCAATGCTTCTGCCATTGACAGGGGATATTTCAGGTATCATTTTCTTTATTGACTCTATTTTGGGGTAAAGTCATGCTAATGTTTACAGCTAGTCTGTTATAGTTTTACTTTTAGATCCAGCACAGTTGGCATTTGTTAAAATGTAGCAACATCAAATACCATCGCAGGCACTGCATCTCAGAAGATCAGCTAGAAGATCTAAAGGGCGGAAAAATATGGATAGACAGCATTAAGGATACTTCATGCCTTCACGGCATGACAATAGCCAGCGCCAGTAAACATGCACTGGATCGCAAATTATTCCTCCCCATGATGCTTGAAAACTGAAATGGCCTATGATGGTAGTGAATGATGATGACAGTTTATTTAATAAATTTTAAGTTTCATAATGTTCAGACACACAATATATGCATTTGTCATTTTCATCCTAGGTGACTTTTTTTCCACATGTAAATTGTCTCCAGTTGTAATTATAAAGAAAGTCAATCAAATTAATTGTGTGATTTTATTTTCCAGGTCTTTCTTCTTCCGTTCGTACAAAGAATCAGAATCAAAGAAAGGCCTTGATCAGGAAGAAATTTTTGAGAAGCCAAATAGAGAGACAGTCCAAGGCATGTCAAATATTTTCTTTTTAATTTCTGGATTCTTTTAATTAAAAAATAAATTTGGCCGTATATTTTGAAACCTATCTGTCTCTCTGTCTAGTTCAGAATGTTAGACTGGCCTGCTTGCTAAACTTTTTTAAAATAGAGATTGTTTGTTCATTCATTTCCATCTGTCTATTGTCTGTCTCTGCCTAATGCTGTTAGTCCTTGCAGGCATAGTTAATGATTGTTTTTTGGGATAGGCGGGCTCATTGGCTAGCCGCATGGTGATACTAAGATTCAGCAATAAGTCACTGATGTAAACAACTTCATAAAGACTATCATAGGCAGAATGTAATACTTTGAGGCAGGGCTATTCAACTGGCGGCCTGCCGAGGCCTAGCAAGTGGCCTGCGGATCATTGCCAGAAGTATTATATTAATGATCTTTCTGTGCTGAGACTTGGGCTTCTAGCACGTGATGATCCTTTTTTTCTCTCAACATTTTAGCCCCTGAGTAAACTTAGTTGAATAGCTCTGCTTTAGGGTCATCAGCTTTGCTCTTTCTTCTACTTACATTCACAATCATTGACATGACTTCAATATTTTCAGGAATGCGGATGGCCATCTATGACAAATTAGATGAGGATGGTATCATTGCTCCTGGCACTCGTGTATCTGGAGATGATGTTCTCATTGGCAAAACCATGACACTGCCTGCCAATGATGATGAGGTAACTGTTTTATAGTTTGTATGGGAAAAATAGTCAGACCTCCTTGGCTTAAGAATCTTCACAATGTCTTTGCTGTCTATAGTACTATGGGGGGGGGGGGGGGGCTTTAAGGCTGCATGGCTAGTGTAAGCATCAAAAGCTGTGCAGGTCACGATGTTATTTTTGCCTGTAACAGAAAACATCCATCATCTTAGCATTCTAACACAGTTTGCCCATGCGAAGGTGCACTATGCTGACCATTCGGCCAGCCACTTACTCTCTCACTGTTTTGTCATTTTGTCTGCTATTTGTTATATTTGTAATAATTTTATATATATAAACCATTTTACAAGTAAAATAGCGGCTTCTATTGGCCACAGTTTTGTGGTGTCAAATTTTTTGTTTATATTCCATGATTCCCACTCTCACCGCTTTCTGATTTCTTTTGGATTTTGGTGCCCCATTTAGCAAGGGGAACAAGAACAGACCTCCCCTACAAGTGTATTGTAAGAGGTGATAATTAAAGTTTTGGTGAAATAGGAAGTTTGGGGCTGAAAGACAAAGATCTCACAGCCTGGCTGTAAACCACTACACAGTATGCCACCAACCACCCTTTTAATAGAAGTAGAAGATTTTTCATGAATTTTAAGCGTCACCATGCCCATTGGTGGTCGTTTATAAAATTGAATTTAAAGTTATTTGTAGATAGTTTATATTTTGATCTTGCTTTCAAAGCATTTCATATCAAAGTTTATATTTTGATCTTGCTTTCAAAGCATTTCATATCAAAGTTTATATTTTGATCTTGCTTTCAGAGCATTTAATATTGAAGTTTATATTTTGATCTTGCTTTCAAAGCATTTCATATTGAAGTTTATATTTTGATCTTGCTTTCAAAGCATTTCATATCGAAGTTTATATTTTGATCTTGCTTTCAAAGCATTTCATATCAACCCATTCACACTGAACTAAAAGGTTACTTTGTAACTGTTTTGTGACTCTCCAACATGACTGCTATATGGATATACTGCTGAAAAGGGTTTCCAGGATTTGTATCTGTTTGATTTTATCTGTGAGATGTTAGTCTACAGAATGGAAAGGAAGAAACAGAAATTTGTAAAAAAAGCATTTAATATAATATGAGGTTGTTGCTTCACTAAAAAAAAAAACGTAAGCGTGTATTGTGGTTGTGCTATTTCGGGGCGGGATAATGACAGATGGTTTTGGCAGCCTCAACCACGCTGCCTTTGCAATGTTTTGATCGCGGAGGCCCCCCGGAAAGACAAAATCTTGTCAGCAGGGGGCTGCAACTGTCTAGAGAGCAAACTTGATAAAAAGCTGTCCACAGCAGCGGAGTCTGACAACCATTTTGTTTGGTGGGAAGGAATCGACACAGACGGTTAACTCAATGATCTGGCTAAATGAAATGTAGCAGTTGCACTGTGATTACTACATGAAGAAAGTTTACGACAGTGTTATAGTCTGTAGTTTTGATGGTTAATTATCCAAGTAATGAAGATTTATTATTTTCATTTCATAGCTGGACAGTACAGCTCGAAGATTCAGCAAACGAGATTGTAGTACTTTCATGAGGCGCAGTGAGACTGGTATTGTAGATCAGGTGTGAACAATAATTTGTGCTGTTTTTCCTCACTTCCCTCTTGTGGTCAAATATTTGTAAGCATCTAATGTTTCTCAACTGTTTGCTTGTTATGATTTTATTGTTTCTAATGATCTGGTATCTTCCATTTTGAGATTGCTTTTATGTGAATTATCGTTTCTGTCTGCAGTGCATGTGTATCATCTTCATTGTTGATCTTTCACCCAAGATCATGTCTGCTGCTTGACATTCATATAACAGTTTTGCCCTGCATTTACATCTTTTCAAGAGTTTTGTTGTTACAAAGTTAATTAATTACCTCTAACCTGACCTAAAATGGGTACCAGAAAATGTTTTGGGAAGAAAAGGTGGTCGATTTATTCACCACATCGTCCATCAAGTGGTGGCTCATTTACCCAGTATTCCCGCTGAACTCAAAGAAGAACAAGAAGAAGACCTCTTTTCAAAAGTTGTGTAGAATTCCAAATTTAATTCCTGACTTCTAACAACCTAAAATGGTTACCAGAAAATGCTTTGAGAAGTAAAGATGGTCTACCTGTTTTACCAAATCATTCATCAATGATAGTAATATGGGGCTGGGGGCATATACACAATTCATCTATGCTGGTGAAAGGACTCCAGTATTTATACTATGTATAATTTTTATATTTGTGGGTTCTGCTTAGTTCTTTGTGTTGTCCGTAAATTTAAATCTTTTTTTTTTTTAAATTAAAAAAAAAATAGTTTGTAAAATAACTATCTGGCTCTTTTGGATAGGTCATGGTCACCATTAACAATGAAGGTTACAAATTCTGCAAGATCCGAGTTCGAACTGTGAAGACGCCTCAGATTGGAGATAAGTTTGCTAGTCGGCACGGTCAGAAGGGAACATGTGGGATCACATACAGGCAGGAGGTAATTGTTACTCTCTTCTTCTGTTCTCTCTTACTGGTAGCTAACAATAATTGGTTTAATGACATATTGAATAGCGGTACTTATTAATTAATTTATTTTTGATAAGCCTAAATATCTGTTAAAGTTTAGAGAAGCAACTTGATTGCACTAGGTTTGTCCCACAGTGGCTTGACCTTTCATCGTAAAATAGCTAGCTGAACACAGAAAACCTCACAGAAAGCACGAACTCAATAGCTCTGGCGGTGATCCCCGGGTGTCCGTCAAAATTGCAGTCGTGAACTGAATGACAGCCATGAAACGAACCCACGGCATTCACAGTGTATGGCAAATAGCTTGACCCTCTCACCGCAGAGGAACCCCCCGCCCCCCCTCCTCCCCATTAATGTGTGAGTTGAAAATATCGACTGGTTAAGTGACTTATATGTTTGTGAGTGGACTAGACTGGTTGTGTATACCGGTAAACTTTGATCTGTGTACTGTGAGGGAACTAACATATAGACTGGTTAAGTTGGGTCTGTATGTAAACTCTGGTGTATGTACTGTGAGGGTACTAACATATAGACTATTTGTGTCTGTACTAACATATAGACTATTTGTGTGTGTCTGTGCAAACTTTGATGTGTGTACTATGGGGGAACTAACATTGTACTGTGAGGGAATTAACATATAGACTGTTTTTAAGTTGTGTCTACAAGTAAACTTTGATGTATGTACTGTGAGGAAACTAACATATAGACTGGTTAAGTTATATCTTTGTATACTTTAAGGGAACTAACATATAGACCAGTTAAGTTGTGTCTATGTGTAAACTTTGATGTGTGTACTGTGAGGGAACTAACAAATAGACTGGGTGTGTCTATATGTAATCTTTTATATGTGTACTGTATATATACTGGTTAGGTTGTGTATATGCAGACCTTTTGTTATTCTACTCATAAATAACTAAAGTGCAAACATTCATTATTTTTCTACAGGACATGCCGTTTACATGTGAGGGCATTACACCAGACATCATCATCAACCCTCACGCTATCCCATCTCGTATGACTATTGGTCACTTGATTGAGTGCTTGCAGGGAAAAGTTGCTGCAAATAAAGGAGAGATTGGAGACGCCACTCCCTTCAATGACACGGTCAACGTACAGAAAATCTCCAAGCTGCTGCAGAAGTACGGGTACAATCTTCGAGGCAATGAGGTTTGTTTACTGTTGTCAGTTGTTGACCATTGATTGAGCATGAGACATAAATGCACATGTGTTTATGGGCACTTAAAAAAAATTTAATCAGTGGATCAGTAGGACCTTTACATAACGTCAGTCTCTTCATGGCACACCTGAAAGTCTCTTTTGCTAGCCAGTTCTCCAGCCCCTGTGTGCTTTCATAGCCAATGTATCTTCATTGTCCAGCATCCACCTCCGTGAAGGTCAGCCTCTGTCTTGTTTTCCAGAAGCTGCACCATTCTCTCCAGACCACCATGGCGCTCGACATGTCCAAAATACCTCCGCTTTAGGGAGAGGATGCTGTTTACAAGCTAGTTTTCCTTGATATTCAGGTCATGTGAGATGTTAGCCTTTTTCTTCTTCTTGATCCACGGTTTTCTAAGAATTTTTCTGATTAGAAGAAATATATAGTGATTATATGTCATATTGTAGTGACCATGCTGGGATTCAAACCCTCTTCTGAATTTTCATCTAGAATAGCTCCTAGGCCATTCACACTAAGTACTGTGTAGACTTGATCTTGGTTGGTTGGAATTTGCAGCTAAAGTTTTGAGTTAAAGAGTGTCGGCCTGATCACCTGGTCACTCCCTACTGCCTCTGATACCACCATCCTGCTAGAGTACACATTGAAAAACACTGGCTGGTGCCTGTGATACCACTATCCTGCTAGAGTACACATTGAAAAACACTGACTGGTGCCTGTGGAAGGACAGTTGGGATGCTACCTTACACAAGTCTAATTGTTGCTCGGCTTATGTTTGCTGTCTGATGAGATTACCAGTCTGTTGTAAACCCTTCTTAGTGATCTTCTTATGATCTGGTCTTTGCTTCCCTTATGAGACCTGACAAAAATATGAAAGACTTACCTCTCAGAAGACTGTCCTTTTACCAATTTTGCCAGGTAATCGCAGTTCCAGCTTCATAGCAGATTGATCACTCCATAGTATCTCCATTTCAATGCCAACGAAAGCAACATAGAATGTCCATCATGTCCATGAAAAGATTACACAGACTGCAGACATAGCTAATCCAGCAGCGTGCACACATGGCATTAAATGCGTTAGTAGTTAGAAGTGCCAACACAAACAGTCAGATACTAGAAATGCAGTTCACCATTGATGGAAGCAGGGGTTACACTAGATCAGTAGTTGCACATGCAACTTTTATATGAGGCCAGGTATTACTTGAGCTGTGTAGCCATGTCATATCCCAGCTTGGGGGAAGATTTTGTTGTTGATGTTGTTGTTACTTAACATGTTATTTGTTCACCTCTAGGTGCTGTATAATGGTTTCACTGGACGCAAGTTGAATGCTCAGGTCTTTCTTGGGCCAACATATTACCAGCGTCTGAAGCACATGGTGGACGACAAGATTCACTCCAGGGCTCGAGGCCCTGTTCAGATTCTCAACAGACAGCCTATGGAGGGAAGATCACGGTAATACTGTTTGTAGTTAGCCTTTGTCCTGCATTTCATGCCTGAATATAAAGGAAAAGAAGACTTGATGCTCTGACCCCACGTACACTTCTTCTTCTTCACGTTCACCAGCTGTAAACGCTGGCGGAAAGTTCTGATTGTTCGTCTACTTCTGGGCTACAGTCCTGTTCTAGAACCTGAGTGTTGCATGTGCATCTGTTTTACAGATCGGACTTATTTGTATGCAGACTTTTGGTTCCTTGCCTCTCAGGCAGATGCATTCCGACTTCGAAGGAAGCTCCCAGTTAGTGGACTCTTATGACATGCTTTTGGGTAGGCAGTGGGTCTATTTTTTTTTCCCCCTCACAATATGGCCCTGGAACCCATACAAGAAACCACCTACACTACTATCTTTTTGTCATAGTCAGATCACTAATGCAACTCTCAGATGTTTCCACCTTCTGTCCTTTTATCTCCCATTCACGTAATCACTGTTAAAGAGAGACATTGAAACAAGCTAAGAAATGTTAGTACCTAAGCAGTGTATTTACAGTGAATGGAGGATTTGACAGAGAAATAGAAAACAGAATACTATATGTCAACATAAATTACCAAATATCGCCACTTTTGAGGCATCAAAATGTCACCATGCACACACAAAAAGCAGCTGATAAAAGTGCTATTTGTAGCAACTTTGTACTATCAATGCCCAACATAAGCAGTCCTAGAAAAACAAATGCAAAATTCCGTGTGAGATATGTATAAGAAATGTGGAAAAAACAAGTAGAAATGGATTCACCAATGAAGAACTAAAAACAATATTACTATTGAATGATTCAATACATCAAAGAATCAAATGGTTTGGTCATCTGGTCAGATTGAAGCAAAATCAGCCAGCATCTAGAGAGTACTACATGAGGACAGCAGGCTACGAGGCAAGAGATGAACCAAGAAAGAGATGGGCGGAGGGAGTAAAATAGACACTACAGGAATGCAGTACGATATTATCACAAGCTATGCAGCTAGCAGAAGACAAGAAACTACGTATAACTCCTCTCTGCGACACTTTGCAGCATAAGCTGAAAGACAGAAGACGAAAGATGGTTCAAGCAATGTTTGCCCCGTTTTTTTCTTTTTAGTAATCAAAATATGTTTTAGTTTTCCTATATTTGCTTTTGCTAACATGAAGTATACTTTTCCAGTGATGGTGGCCTTCGTTTTGGTGAGATGGAACGAGATTGCCAGATTGCCCACGGTGCTGCCCAGTTCTTGCGTGAACGTCTCTTTGAAGCATCAGATCCATATCGAGTACATGTCTGCAATTTGTGCGGCCTTATAGCCATTGCCAACCTCCGCAGTCAGACATTTGAATGCAGGGCTTGCAAGAACAAAACTCAGGTATGTTTATATTTAGTCTTATCTTACAAGATTTTAATGTGTTCCAGTGATTTAGAACAGAGAGTTTTGTTTTGATATGTGAAGTATAAATACGTCGGCTCTGAGGCTAAGTCGATGCAAACGCTTCGTAGTGCCGGGGTGCCGGGTTCGATCCCAGCTGTGGGCCATGTGCTTTGCATTGGTTTCGACAGTGGTATCAGGAGGCCGATTGTTCAGGAAGAAATGGCAAACTACTGGACGGAAATTTGCCTGGAGAAACCACACAACAGCCAGGGGGCTGCTAGGGTTGGTTCTGCAAAGTCCTGTAATGGATACGCAACTAACGTTTAATTGGTTGGAATTTGCAGTTGAAGTTTTCATAGAGATATTAAGTGACCCCCTGGTCATTCCCCACGTCACCCTTCTCATCAGACTGTCTGGGTCTTTTTGTGTTTTGACACCTTTTACTTGCACACTGCCGTGATAACATCTAGCTTGTCATGCATCAGTATACAACCATGTGGTGCACAACCAGCCAGTCTGCTAGTTCATTTCTTGCTATACATGCCTGCCTTGGAGAAAATATATCCCAAGTATACTACCTAGCCAGGACCTGTGAAGCGATGTTTGTTGGTCTGCACAGAGCACACCAGTATCCACCTTTCTCAGCATGCATTGTGAGTCTGTTCTAGCCACCCAAGAAGCATTAGACAAGACAAGTGCAGGAAAACACAGACACTGGGCTACAACAGAGTAACAGTGTGAAGACAAAAGAAGAGGATAAAGTACAAAATAAAAAAGAGTGTGGGGGGGGGGGGCGTGTGTGTGTCGGGTGGTAATTTGGAATATATAAATTAAAGCATTTTTCAAGGAGTATATGAATATAAAGCATTTTCAAGGAGTATATGACTATAAAGGCGTTTTTTTTAAACTAGAGATTATAAATTATTCTTGTTTTTTTTCCCTTCAGATTTCTCAGATCCGTATTCCTTATGCCTGTAAGCTGCTGTTCCAAGAGTTGATGTCCATGAGCATTGTGCCCAGAATGATGGTGAATGCTTGATCTGTTGGTGGCTTCCATGGGATTCAGTTGTTTACGATAGGGGGTTTTGAACAGTTAGCATGATACTGTTAAGTTTGAACAAGTGAACTGTGTCATTCAATTAGTGAGTGATAATTTGTTTAGTTGTTGATTCCCAGCCAGTTGGCACATCTGCGGCTGTATGTCATAAACTAGTGTTATGTATTGGTTATTTGTGTTCTAGAATTGTTTAACATTCTGATGTCCTATACTTTTGAATCTGGTTGTCAAGCTTTATTTTTGTTTATGGCTTGTTCTGTTTGGTCAAGAATAAGATGTTATTCATGTCCTTTAAAACAAACAGAAAAAAAAAGTTTTAGTGTAAACGTTATGCATGACAGGACAAAGGTTAGCTTAACTCAAATTGTGGTATGTGTATTAAAAAATACAGTATGAAATGACATAATTACAAAACTTTTTGTCTGCCTGAAAAAAAATAATTAACAAATACAGCATCTAAGAAATCGCCATATTGGGTGCAAAAAAAAAAAGATTATGACCCTGCAGTAAAGCTTTTAAAATGCAATGAGAAAAATGAAAGGTAAAAAGACCTACTTTACAGAAACACGATCGCAAATGACATTTACGAAACCTTTACAGGCTAAAAATAAATTGGCACAAATTCATCAATATAAATATCTTCTTGCAAACGCCTTTTGCCTTTGCAGTTAAAAGGACGCTTGGCATGTTCAGTTTCAATAAAACCCTAAACAGCCGCCACTCATAACATACTTGTTAGGGCTCAGCGGGTCAGGTCTGCTTTCACCAAAAAAGACGTCTTGGAACTTTCACAAGGCTTCATGAAAACACATTTAAGGTGTATTCAGTACACAGTATTTGAAGTGAGTGGGTGCAGATGAGGTATCAACAAGGAGGTGATTATGTTTTATTTAATATTTATATGGCCAGAGATGAGAGCTAAATAAGAAATGTTAGTTTTGTGTAATATTTGTGTGCCTGCAGTGGGAGATCATATAATGAAGAGTTGACATGATTCATTTCTTCAGCAAAATACATGCAGATAAGAAAAAAAATTATGAAAATGATAGAAACACATTTTTTTGGGCCTGTTTATCTTCGCCGTAGTTATTGTTCATACTGTTTAGTAGTTGAGATGTTACATTTGCAAATTGAACGTGTGTTGCTGAGAGTGAATTAAAATGATGCTCTCAGTTTTAATGTTGCATGTCACTTATGGTTTCTTTCACTCTGTTATGTATCATTGTTATCAGTTTATCTTCAATCCTTAAGCAGTTAAAGAAATTGTCATAAATGATTTATTTTTATTACCTTACTTCAACTTTTATTAGGTTATCAGTCTGCATAATAATTATTTTTATCTTCTTCTTTGCCTTCACTGACTGTAAACTACAGTGGTAAGTTCTGGTTGTCCATCACTTATAGACTTTTGTTTTGTTCCAGAACTTGAGTTTTATGTACACATCTGTTTTACAGGTCTGGCTTATTTGAATGTAAACTGTTGATGCTTGTTAGGGGATGTTGTTATCATTGTCAGTACCTCTCTTAACACAAAAGTCAAATTGTTTGTGACTTTTTACAATTTCCTAACAGGTGAATCCTTTAGAATTTAATACAGCAATTACATCAACCCAGCATTCTTAAATGGGTTCAGGATATTGCCCTGGGAAGTAAAGGTGGCCAGAGAAATATTGACCAACCCCCTTCCCTCTCAGGTCCGATTTGTCTACAAAAGTCTGGTATCCTGTGCCTCATGTGCCACTGGTATGAAAGGGGATGCTTTACTTCACTTGCTAACACAAATCACATAGTCCATTTGTTACATGTTGATCCAAATTCTGTTGTATACACCTGGTGAGAAACATATACCGTATTTGTCAGTGTATAAGATGCTCATTTATATAAGATGCACCCTAAAAATTGAAATGAATTCTCCATTAAAAAAAAACTGATTTAATTCTTGCACTCATTTCGTACATGTCTCTAATTCTATCCACTTTGTACTTTTTCCATATAGTGTATGCTTTCCTTTGTTCACATTGCATGAAACATCCTGTTGAGACACTAAAAGCCGTATGATTTTTCCCCCGTTGTCACAGGCCCGGAATTATGTTCTGCTGACTGCTGTGTTCTTTGGCATATTTCATCAACTGGAGTTTAAAACGCATGGTGTCGGAAAGCCGCTCACTGTCTTTTTCTATGTCTCTGGCAACTGCAAAAAGGTACATGATAGCCCACCGTCATTGTATAAAATGCACCCTAATTTTAAGACCTTTTCTGAGAACTAAAAAAAAGTGCATTTTATACAGTGTCAAATACGGTACTTTTAAAAATGCCAGGCAACAAACTACAGTATTTTATGTGCTCACTATTTTTAATTTCTAATGGAATAAGATTGTTTAGAATGTCTGTATTTTGTCAACAAAATTGAGATATATTAGGTTGTTTATTGTCTAACATGACAGTTTTTTTTAGTTGTCAGTTGGTTGAAAGAACTTTAAAAATGTATTGAATAATGTCTTTATCTTGAATTTGGAAAATTACAGTTCATGTTAACATTAAACATTTGGGTTTTTCTTTTTTTTTTAAATGTTTATTTTTATCCATTGATCCTGTTCAGTAAATTGTGCTAAAAATATCGAAGGCAAGCTGTGATCATGAAAAGCAATCATTTAAATATTCAAAACAATGTTTTCGCGTAATGAATTTAAATAATGCGGATACAAACAATACATTGCACAATTTATTGCCAGACATATTTTGCTGTATCTCACCAGGTCAAAAATGCCTGAAAGTTGGGTTCAAATCTCACCTGAGGCAGATGTAAAAAATAAAAAATGATTACAGCCCTAATGAAACATTTACATTTTCTTAATGATGGCAATAAGTCAAATAGCATAGATTGGGTAGGTCACCATTTTATTATTCGAAATTTGAATATTGTAACCAAATAGAGTTGGCTCTGTGACTAAGTCGATACGAACGCTTTCTAATGCTGGGGTGCCAGGTTCGATCCCAGCTGTGGGCCATGCGCCTTGCATTGGTTTTGACAGTGGTATCAGGGGGTTGACCATCCAGAAAGCAATGGCAAACTGCTGGACGTAAATAAGAGAAACCACACAACAGCCAGGGGCTGCTGGGGTTGGTTCTGCAACGTCCTGTAAAGGATTCGCAACTAACCTAACCTAAACCAAATAGAGGAAGCAGATTGTACACAGTGAAAGCAGACTGGATAGCACTGAAACAGGAGGATTGCTCGGCCTTGCGTTGGTTTTGACAGTGGTATCAGGGGGTTGACCATGCAGAAGGCAATGGCAAATTGCTGGACGTAAATAAGAGAAACCAAACAACAGCCAGGGGCTGCTAGGGTTGGTTCTGCAACGTCCTGTAAAGGATTCGCAACTAACCTAACCTAAACCAAATAGAGGAAGCAGATTGTACACAGTGAAAGCAGACTGGATAACACTGAAACAGGAGGATTGCTCGGCCTTGCGTTGGTTTTGACAGTGGTATCAGGGGGTTGACCATGCAGAAAGCAATGGCAAATTGCTGGACGTAAATAAGAGAAACCAAACAACAGCCAGGGGCTGCTGGGGTTGGTTCTGCAACGTCCTGTAAAGGATTCGCAACTAACCTAACCTAAACCAAATAGAGGAAGTAGATTGTACACAGTGAAAGCAGACTGGATAGCACTGAAACAGGAGGATTGCTCGGCCTTGCGTTGGTTTTGACAGTGGTATCAGGGGGTTGACCATGCAGAAAGCAATGGCAAATTGCTGGACGTAAATAAGAGAAACCAAACAACAGCCAGGGGCTGCTGGGGTTGGTTCTGCAACGTCCTGTAAAGGATTCGCAACTAACCTAACCTAAACCAAATAGAGGAAGCAGATTGTACACAGTGAAAGCAGACTGGATAGCACTGAAACAGGAGGATTGCTCGGCTGGTGGCACAAACTGCAGGTTTTTGTTAGTTGCAGGATGTCACAGAACCAACCTAGCATTTTTTGGCTGTTGTGGTTTTTCTAGGTAAGTTTACTTTCAGTAATTGGCCATAATTGCAGGTTAGGATGGGTTTCTCTCCCCCCCCCCCCCCCCCCCCCCCCCTCCCCTCCGAGACAGAAAAATTGCTTATCACCTTTATGAAGATTTAACCTGGGTCTCCGGCATGAGATCCAGCAATCTGAACACTCAGTCAGCTTTTTCTAATGTGAATCAACTCAGTTTCGAGTTCTCAGAGCCCAAGAATATGATCTGGGCTTTAGAAGACTAATTCCACAGTTAACACAAAACTTATAAATAAACCAAGATAAACTTTACGTAGATGGTCTCCTTGGAGTGCTTTTCGGATTTCTGTAGTTCATAGTTGAATATTAACTTGTAGGTTCTCTACAAAATCTGACCAGCCTTAAGATTCTTATCTTCATTATGTGTTTCAGTAGCATCATGTTAAAGGAGTGCTTTAAAACTAAAATAAGAGTTATCTTAGATCTGTTATAAGTTAAACTCTGCCCACTGGCTTAGCTGAAAACAGAGTGGCAAAAGGAAGTGATTTTGATGATGCAATTTCAAAAATTGCAGAAACAGTAGGGGGGTTCAGAAATTTTTTCCAAACAGGGTACCAGCTGACTGTTCTACACCACTGCTTTAAGTCTGTGGCGGTAGTTGGCAGTGCAAGGATGTATCTCTTGTATACCTTAGAATCACCTGCATGTCTTTATTCTCTAAGTTCTGCATGCAGAAAGTCCAGGAAGCCATCGGTGCCTTCTGTATTACTAAATAAGTAGACTGACCTGTTACTTTAATTCTTTTTGTCCAATTTACTTTAGGTAGTAATATTGATACAGTAGTCAAAGAAAGAAATTATGACACACATTGCAATGCATCAGCAGCTTTTAAAAGCATGAGCAAAGTATGGGACTCTAAATTATAGTTATAAAACCAGGTTATATATTTTCAGTTCTAATGTTATTTCAGTTTTAAGATATGCAAGTGACAGTTGGAGA